GGGTGACCGTGGGGGGGGGGGCAGCCAGGCGGGAAGCAGGCTGTTTGCAGCTAACGTGTTGACTGCTGTGGTTGAGGAGGGTACAGGGCCAAGAGGGATCAGAGGCAGGACCTGAACCCAGGTCTGCGGGCAGTCCAGAAAGGGCGTGAATAATCTGTAGCCTTGCTGATAGGATTAGGTTGGGTTCTTGTTCTTTCTAAAACAAGGGACCTTATTCCTTGGTCATGGTGCCGAGCTGTGTGCCAGCTGCTTGCTGACAGCCTGGGGCAGTGTCTGGCAGGCGGGCCGGGGGCCCTGAGGGACTGCGGGGAGAGGGGGCTTGTGAATGGCGCCCGAGGAGTGAAGGAGGACAGCGGAGGCCCCCAGCTTCTGGGCGCTCCCTCAGGAAGGAGCTGCAGACAGGGCATCCCGGGAACTTCGCGAGACCCTGGGAGCGCTGAGCCTGGTCCATGTTTGTGTCTGGTTCTCGTCGAGGTAACAGGATTTTAAGTGTGCTCTCTGCCAAATCAAGTCCTCTCCAGACTCTCTTAAGCCTTTGGCCTGATTATGGTCTGTAAATCACCCCACTTGGCTTCCCCCAAAACCAGTCAGGAGGAAAGGTGCCTCAGGAGGCAGGCGTGGTCCAGGCCTGGGAGGAGCCCTGTGCCTGGGTCTCTGCGGTGCCTGAGGACCCAGGGAACACAGGTCTGCCCTGCTCCCAGCCGCTGCGAGGCCAGCTGCCCTCCTCAGGTCACTCCTGGCAGCCCTCGGCTTCCCTCCACACCAGCCACCTGTCCTAACTGGGCCAGCCTGACACCACAGCTGACACCTGTCCTCACTCCTGGCCACGTGCCACCTCAGCAGCCTGCCTCCCTGGCCATGTTCCCGCCACAGATACACTTCCCACTTCTGAGGCTCCCCCGACGAGCTTGCTTAGAACAACACGGTGAAGTGATGGAAAGTTGTAGCACCGCCAAGGGAATGGTTTATACCCCGCCTAAGATTTTGCAAGAGCTTGACCATGTGATTATAATTATCTTTAAAAACCCTTTTTGTCAATATAATGATCTGCCAACCATAAAAGTCAACTCAAACATTGAATGTAGGTAAGGATCTGCCCAATTCTGATAGTTTACAATGCCGTGAGCTAAGGATGGACATTTACCTTTTTATTTAGTCGATATATCCCACCTCCTCCCAAGAGGGATGTGAGACAGGAGAGGCTACATAAATGCATTCATTCAACATTGTATGGACAGGTTGAGAGTTGGCACATCCGGGCAGAATTCCAGCGACTGGGGACGGAGCATGAAAATGACACCGTCCCTGCTCCCACAGAGCCCGTGTCTGATGGAGCTGGTGATGGTCATAGCTAAGGTTCTTCAAGGTGTACTTGACCTTTGAGCCTAGGTATTTTTATAAATTCTCTGAGCAATTACTTTCTCTGTTTAATGTCTCATTCAAGAAATTAAGGTCAATTCAGGCATCGACGAAGACTGCCAGTCCCGTGGTGATAGCTGCTAGCTAGGCTGTAAGAGTTGAGACTAACACTTATTCCTCCAAGACCCCTGCTGCCCTCCAGGCTCGCTCTAAGGAGAACCCATTTTTAATAGCGTGTCTCTTCTTAATTAATTTGTTCCAGCTGAGTAATTGGACTTATAAAATATAATTGGACTTAGAAAAATATAAAATTTACGTAGTTGGTAATTCTTTGTTGTACACTGTGAATTTTCATTTGCTCTTATGTGGATAAAAAGAAAATCATGTTCTTTGAGATTCAAAGTGTTAATGGCTGACTTTCTATGTTTATTTACCCAGTCACCCAACACATTTATTGAGCTTACACCTTGGTTCCAGACGGGGGCTGGGTCCTGGAGATCCAAAGATGAGTGAGACACAAGTCACGGCCCAAGGAGTGCTCAGACTAGTCAGGGAGGCAGATAAGTCAATGTTGATTATGGGAGCAGGTACGGGGGGTCCCCTAATCAGCCTTCTGGGTCAGGAAAGTGTCCCTTGAAAATGTCATTTTAAGCAATGTCCTGAAAGCTATGGCTGACGTGATAAAATTGCATGTGGACCATAGGGCTGAGAAAAAGAGGTGGAAGGCCCAGCTGGTGTGGCTCAGTGGTTGAGCGTCAACCCATGAACCAGGAGATCATAGTTCGATTCCCGGTCAGGGCACATGCCTGGGTTGTGGGCTCGATCCCCAGTAGGGGGCGGCAGGAGGCAGCTGATCAATGACTCTCTCTTATCGACATTTCTCTCTTTCTCCTGCTCTCTGAAATCAATAAAAACATAAAAAAATGCCTTTCTCTATTAATAAAGAGGAATAGAAGGTGGAATTTAAGAAAAAAAAAATAGGGGTGAGGGCCAAGGCTAGAGGGGCGAGTGGGGCGGGGGGAGTGAGTACGGGGCTGATGGTGGTAGCCTTCCAGCCATTCTGAGGATGACGGGTTTATCCTGAGAAGACAGAAGTGTTGTCCTTTGTTGTCAGGGTGAGGTTTATTGTCTCGGAGAACAGGTTGGAGATGAGGAGGGCTGGAGACAGCATAACCCCAGGGAGAGAAGAGGGGGGGCATGGCAGAGGAGGGATGGGCCTGGGCAGAATTAGATGATCTTAACGAGCTTTAGTCAGCACATCGCTGAGAAACCAATATCTGAATTTCACAAGTGCAGGAGTCTCTTTTCCTGGATGTCATTTTAGCAGTAAAATGTGGTACGTCATCATGGTGGTTGACGTAAGGCCATTCCCAGTGCTGGGAAAACCTCTTGGGCTGCCTGGGCCTTGGCCAGCTGGGCCAGGCTTTCCTGGTCTGCATTTTCCATGCCAGCCTCGGACATTGGAGAGCACTGTCCGGGAACTGGCCAGGAACATAGGCTGGGGTGGGGAACGCGACAGTGAGGCCGGTCCTCTGTGACTTGCCTTTTCCGGTCTGATCTCCAGAGGCAGCGTTGTGGCGTAGGAAGGGCTCCGAATTAGCAGCCAGGATCCTGAAAGTGAGTCCTGATTGTGTTGCTTACTGGCTCTGTGACCTTTGGCAGATTATCAAAATCTATGGCCTCGTGTCCCTATCTGTCCAAAGAAGGAAGGGGTGAGAGGATACATGTGACTGCAAGATTGTTTTCCCTTCCTAGTCCGAGATTCCATGAGCCGTGCCCCAGCTGCAAGGTGCTGGCGATCTTTAGCGACTGCTCTTTGGAACCACACCCGCTCACTTACTGAAAGTGACTGTACTGCTCTGGCCCCAGAGAGGGCTGTCAGAGGGCGTTGTGGGAAGGGACCAGAAGGTTCTTATTTTCTTGCATTTTTAGCAGATATATCTTGGTTCTATTACTTTGAGCTGAGAAAAAAATAGAAATTGCAGCGGGTTAGCAGAGTGGAGCCCTGTTTGAGCTGTGATGGCCTCGCCCTCTCTTACCTTGCAGGTTTCTCTCCTTAACAGGAAGTCAGTGTTTGAACATTGCATGGCTCAGAAATGTTATTGTGCCATTGTGTTCTGATGGAGGAACAGTTTTTACTTTTATTAATTGGTTCAAAGCTGCAGTGAAGTCATACTTATAAGGACATAAGTGCAGAAAAGACATAGACTTGTTCAAATTTTCTAACTGCTTACATATATGGTCTGAGTTTTACTAGATAGCTCTATAGATCTGCAGTATGTGCTGGACGTACAGATAGAATTAAACATATAATTAAGCAGTATTACTAATTATAGTTTTTGAGGCATATGAGTGATAGAAGAATGTCTTAATCTCATATTTCAAGGGCTTGAAATATAATGCATGAAATAAGTAGGTATCGCTCAGTTATCGTATCTTTGCTATTTATATAGTTTATCAATAAATGAATGCCTTGTATTTTGATGAACATGTATTTTATTATAGTTTGCCTAATTTTTAGATTTAATTTCAAGCTTATGCTAATTTATATTTTTTCTTTTAATTTCTGTTTATGGACCTAAGGAGGAAGAGGGAGAGACAGCAGCGGAAGAGGTACAGCAGCATATTTAATAATTGTGCCTATGAAAGGCACTGGCTCTCACAGTGACAGCATTGTAGTTTGACCATGTTCTCTTTTTTAAGTCTTCACCCGAGGACATGCTTAGAGAGAGGAAGGGAGAGAGAGAAACATCAATGTGAGAGAAGCATCCCTCGGTTGCCCTCCATATGTGTCCCGACCGGGGACTGAACCTGCAGCCCAGGTATGTGCCCTGACCGGGAGTCGCACCTGCCACCTTGTTGTGTCCGGGACGATGCTCCGACCAGGAGCCCCCCAGCCAGGGCCCACCGAGCTTCCAGTGCCCTGATGTGCTGCCAGGTGGAGGTCAATTCCAAGAACTCCTGCTGTTTCCATGCTCCCAGTAAAAAGCCCGTCTCATTTAGAAGACAGTAACATTTATTTTGTATTAAAAACTAGCCTTGGTAACTCCCCCCTTCCTGTTTTTGGTGATGGCCGTGAGTGATGGGTGATGGGACGCGCTGTCCTTTCAGGTCCCCAAGGAAGCGCTGTCCTTTCAGGCCCCCTCCTCCATTCTTTCCCCCACGGGGTGCTGGGTGCTTAAGAGAGGTCACGAAACTAATGAGAATCCACGCGCGCCCGCGCCACTCCCAGCGGGGGGTCTGCCTCTAGAAAGGCGGCGTTCGTGCGCTTTTTGTATGTGTGTGTGGCGTGTCTGTTGCATGTATTGTATGTGTTCTATGTTTGTGCTGTGCGTGTCATGAGTATTGCATATGTGTGAATCCTGTGTTGTGTGCTGCATAAGTGTGTGTGGTGTGTTTATGTGTGTGCTGTGTACTGTGTTGTGTGTGTTGTGTGTGGTGCGTGGCGTGTGTAGCGTGTGTTGTGTGCGTGTGGTGCGTGGCGTGTGCGGTGTGTGCGGTGTATTGCATGGCATGTGCAGTGTGTGCGGGGGGTGGGCTCCGCTCCGTCCTGCGCGCTCACCGGGGCTCCCAGTCTCACTGCGGTTTCCCCGCAGGCGGCCGAAGTAAGCCCGGCGGAGGCGGAGGCGGAGGCGGAGGCGGAGGCGGAGGCGGAGGCGGAGGCGGAGGCGGAGGCGGAGGCGGAGGCGGAGGCGGAGGCGGAGGCGGAGGCGGAGGCGGAGGCGGAGGCGGAGGCGGAGGCGGAGGCGGAGGCGGAGGCGGAGGCGGAGGCGGAGGCGGAGGCGGAGGCGGAGGCGGAGGCGGAGGCGGAGGCGGAGGCGGAGGCGGAGGCGGAGGCGGAGGCGGAGGCGGAGGCGGAGGCGGAGGCGGAGGCGGAGGCGGAGGCGGAGGCGGAGGCGGAGGCGGAGGCGGAGGCGGAGGCGGAGGCGGAGGCGGAGGCGGAGGCGGAGGCGGAGGCGGAGGCGGAGGCGGAGGCGGAGGCGGAGGCGGAGGCGGAGGCGGAGGCGGAGGCGGAGGCGGAGGCGGAGGCGGAGGCGGAGGCGGAGGCGGAGGCGGCAGACGCCTAGGCCGGCTGTCCCAGGTAGCAGCTGGTGGGGCTGGGAACTGGTGCCTCGCGTGGCTCCTGCCCTGCACGGGGACAGGGCGCGGGCCCTGGTCCCGACCGTCCCGCACTCGGGGGGGCCCCTTCTGGCCCGGGGCGCAGG